TGTGTGTGTGTGTGTGTGTGTGTGTGTGTGTGTGTGTGTGTGTGTGTAATTAAGTACAATCAGTCTGTCTTTGCAGATCCTTGAGGAGTGGTTTGGCCGCACTATCATCTGTTCTTGCACCAAATTGAGCTATGATCATGCCCAGAGCATGATCGAAAAACCAACTGAGAAGATCCCCAAGGAAGAGCTTCCCCCTATTTCTCCAGAGCACAGCATCGAGGAGGTGCACCAGGCAGTCCTGAACCTGCACAGCATTGCAAAGCAACTACGCCTCCAGCGCTTTGTAGATGGTGCACTTCGTTTAGATCAGGTCAGTGAGTCTCTTTTATTTTATGCAGTCTTGAGTTTGGTTTGTGCCCAAAACCCAAGGGTGAGACACAGCCTGGTGGCCTCTTCCTCTCCATCTGTTTCCCCTGCCACACTGCCACACCATTGTAACAGTGAGTATGGGGAGTGTCCATGTAGGGAGTTCTGTGACTCCCAGCTGCTCTTATCTGGAAAATCTGTGTCCAGGATTGAATTCTCACTTGTAGATGGCTTTGCTGTGACAGGTCCCTGGGACAAAGAAAGGAAGTTTCAGAGGCACTTGGAACATAGCTCTGTTGTTTCTGGCCCACCGTGAGAAGAGATGACATGTGAGAAGCATGTGGCCCAGTGGAACTGCTTGTCTCATGGCAGCCAGTAGGCAGAGAGAGATAAAGACACAGAGTGGCACGTGAGGGGGGCGGAGACAAGATAGACTTTCTAGGCCACACCCTCAGTGATATTGATGAATCCAACAGCTGGTTCTTTTAAGAAGGTAAGCAAGATTGACAGACCCTTGGTCCAACTAGCCAAAAGAAATAAAGAGGACCCAAATTAACAGAATCAGAAATGAACAGGGAAACATTACAACACCTAAGAAATACAGAGTTTCATAAGGGAATACTTTTAAAAATTGTACTCTATTAAGTTGGAAAATCTAAAAGAAATAGATGAGTTTATAGATTCAGCCAAACCACCAAAATTAAACCAAAAAGAAGTCAACAACCTAAACAGACCCATAACAAATGAGGAGATTGAAATAGTAAAAAAATAAAATAAAAACCTTCCAGCTAAAAAGAAAAGTCCAGGGCCAGATGGATTCACAGCAAAATTTTACCAGACTTTCAAAGAAGACCTGCACCCAGTCGTACTTAAACTGTTCAAGAGGTAGAAACAGAGGAAGCACTCCCAGGTCTCCTCTGTGAAGCCTGTGGGCCTCTTTATATCACCAGTCTGTTCTCTCACAAAGACTTCTTCCTCTGCTCCTTGCTTCATGCTTGGTGTCCTGAGGCTGCATCCCGCCTTCCAGTCATCTCCACCAACAGTTCCTCCCTGATTCCAAGTGGCTAAGTTGATGCTAATGATGGCCAGAACCAGTCTCTGACAGACCTCCCTTCCTCCCTCCCTCCCTCGCTTATCTCACTTCTCTACCTGCCTGATCTGCCTGACTGCCCTTCAGCAGCTCAGCAGTGCTCACCCACCCTTCTTTCTGCACAAAGCAGTGCTCGGCACCCACAGCGTGGTACACAGGCTCCCTGGCATCCTCTTCTCCCTCTGATGCACTGGAGCAAGCATCATGTGCATGCTCCCGACCCGAGAGTACCAGCTGCACAGGCTGCTGTAATTATGCTTAGACTAAACGTTAGACAGACGGGTCAAATATAACTCTCAAAAGAAAGCTGTTTATTCTGTAAACACATGTTTTAGAAAGACGAGTCTTCAGAATTTCTTTAGATAAGACAGCTATGAAATCCTAAAACTCAGGAGGTATCGGGACTGAAGTCACTTTACAAATGAATTGTGTGGCTTAGGGAAGTCTTCAGAAAATGAACTGGGTTTAGTTATCTTAAAAAAGACTAGGAATCTATGATATTGGCACTGTAATCTCAGCACTCAGGAAGCCAAAACAGGAAGATTGAAAATTCAAGTCCATGTAAGATGTATGTCAAGATCCTGAGGTAAAGAAGAATAAGAGGAGGAAGAGGAGGAGGAGGTAATAAGAAGAGGAAGAAGGAGGAGGAAGAGGAGGAGATGGGGAGAGATAAAGGCAAGAAAAAGAATGTTTAGTTTTCTCTCACTTTATAGCTCAAGTTGGACTTGAACTCATGGCTATCCTCCTGCCTCATCTGTATCCTAGTGGCCCTCTTAACTCATAAAGGAGAAGGCTGAAGTCCCCACAGGTAGATGGGTTGCTTATTGCCAGACATCCAAATAACTCTTTGTTTGGTTTTCTTTCATTTATTACACCATGCTAATATAAGAGGAAAAAAAAGTTTGCCTTTAAAGTGAGAGGGGAAAACACCCTCAAAAACCTAATTAGGTTCCAGTTAATTAAGGTTTGAAAGTAATGAATTTGTATCCTTGGAGTTGATTCCTTAGTTCCCCAGAAAACAAGTCTATAGACCCCCACATTAGATGGAGACATCAATCTTTGCAGCCAAGGACACTGGTGAGACCATTTATAAATCAGCTAAATAGCTTTACTCAGAAGCCCTGCGTTTGTTCTCCTGTCCTTGTTGGCTTCTTTGCCCTCACAAGTCCATTTTTCCTTGGTGCCTTTTCAGTGACCTGCTGTTTGGCATTGTTCTCTGAAGCTTTGTCTGCCATAGTTCACTGTGTCCATGTTTTGGGTGGCAGTCCTTTAAAAAGTACATCCTTTTATGTCAGCAGCAATTAGAGAGTGGTCTTTAGCCAATCCAGAGGCTTTGCCTTTCCAAGAAATCAGTGTGTGATGACCCTGAGAGTGAGCAAGGATGAAGGACAAGGCACTAATATGGTGCCTGTTTGCAGAGTCAGAGATACAGGCAAAATGGCAGAGCAGCTTGACCTTGGGGTATTTGCAGTCAGCAACTCAGGCTTCAGTGGCTGGCCTGATCTGAGATAGTGGAGCTTGGGCTCCTGGACTCTGGAGTACCCGCTGGCAGTCCTGTTCCCTGAGCCCAGCATGCTGCCCTATGCTAGGGAGTAGTCTAGAGTGCTGCTTTGAGGCAGAATAACTCTAAGTGATGCTCACCTAGAGCTGACTTAACAAGGTTCTCTTCCAAAAGGAGATTCTCCTTTGCCCCCAAAGTGGCACAGGCCTCCAAGACTACCTAGTGATTTTTGGTCAGCTGAGTTGAATAATGACCCTTCCAAGTGGCTTGTCTCTAAATCCATGTTTTCTGCTGCCAGAGTAGTTCAAGGAGTTGGTACAGATAGCCACTTTATTTTTAATTATTTGTTTATAATATATGTCTCTCCTGAATCTTAAAAGGGGCCATATTGGGGCCATTCTGTATGTGTGGAAGAAATGAAATCAGTGGTCTCTGATATCCTCATCTTGAGTTTAATGCAAGGGGAGCCGTCTGAGGGCTTCTGTTCCTGACTGGCACAGGCCAGCCCTCAGCAGCTGCCATCAAGAGAGGAAGATAGATTGGCCTGGCTTGGGCGTATGTAAGACCTTGCGTCCCTTTTGGGGTTCTAGCTCAGCTATTGCCTTCAGAAAGGATATGATGGGAAGGTAGGGCCGAACCTCCTCAGTACTAAGAACCATGTTGACTGATGTCAGGAAACTCCACGCCCTTCTTTCTGAAGCTCTCTGAACCTATCTCTCTTCAGCCAGGTTAAGCTTCTGTGTGAAATGAACCAGAGACTTGCAGAGATCAGACAAGGTCTTCCAGCAGGCAGTTAAGACTGGAACTCTGAATTCAGAGGGCCTTGGAAGTCAAGTGAAGAAAACCTGAGGAAAATTCATACAAAGTAAAGGAGGCTTTACTAAGTTCACAGCTCTGTCATCCATGAAACCTACGTGACACAGTTTTGAGGCCCAAGCTCCATGCAGTTTCTTTGTAAAGGTAGCCTTTCTAATGGAAGACACTTGAATACCCTGAGACTCAAGCTGTGTGAATCTGTTATGTTTGATCCTAACCTAGCCTAGCCTTTCAGTCAGTGTTGGTAGGCTTTCCCAGGAAAGGCCAGATAGTAAATGACATGAGCTCCTGGTCCATATGGTCTGTCTCTGACTCAGCCCTGCCTATTAGTGTGCTCCAAATGAATGGGGGTAGTTGACATGCAGTAAAATGTGAAGGTCACTGAGGCTTGGGTTTGATGTCCTTTTCATGGGCCACAAAATATTATTCTTCATTTGATTATTTTTCAACTATTTAGAAATGTAAAACCCCTCCTTTGCTCCCACGCCACACAAAGCAGGTTAAACTGTGGCCCATCATCACTGACCTGCTTAACTGACCAGCCAGCTTTTCAGCCCTATTACCTAGCGAGCCTTTAGCAGCTCATTACTACTTCCCCAGGAAGCCAGACTAGGTAATGAAGAACAGTTGGGCTAAGTGAGCTCTCAGGATGGTTCCACACAATTAAGGAAATTATTCTTTTGATTAGTACCATGCTTAGGAGTCCAGTTGGAGGCTGGAAGAGTGACTGTCTCCCCCGCACTCTCTGCACATTTATTTTCCCCTTCCTAAGGTCCAGTCCCTTTAGCCAACATGAAGCCAAAGAAGCAACACTGTCTTTACTCCTCTGCAGGATCCACAGAGTCAGGGCAGCCCCCCCTCCCCTGTCCTGTCCCTTCCTCCTCCCCTCCCCTGGGCCTCTGAAGGTAGGGACAAGAAGAACAGGCTGTGAGGAAGATGAGTAGCTTCTCTCCTCAAACCTGTCCACAGTGCTAAGCACAGCAGAGTGTTCCTTCTCTCCATCATAGCTGCATTCTTAGTGGCTGCTGCTCAGTGCTGCTCTCGGGTGACATTGGATGCAGCTGCAGAGGACAGGCAAGTCCTTCTAACTTTCCTTTAGTATTAGTGTTTGTGTCATCTCAAAGCACAAGATAGGCCACGGCCCAGGTTCTGAGTTTTTTCATTCAGAGAGTTATTCACTCAGAGCTTCAGCTTCAGAGACCTGTTTGGGGAGGTTGGGGGGAGGGTGTGGGGGGATGCTGAGAATGTAAAGGAAGAATGAGAAGTTTCAGGTATGGGGTAAACCACTAGACAGTAAGAAGCACTAAGACAGACTACCCAAGTGCAGGAATAGAAGGTGGGTGGAAGTGTTTGTTGAACTTGAGACTGAGGAATGACTCCTGCCCAAAACCAAGTGCTCATCCTTAGAACCCCGAAGAAATCCATGTTCCTGAAGCATATCAAGAGTTTGCTGTCCTCTCTGATCTTCAGAGAACATCGTTTGTAACTTCTGTCTCCTTGTGCCTTCCACTTCCTGTTTGTAATAGGCCACAGGAGTCATTTGTGTTGGCCTGATGTGAATAAGTATAAGGAAACCCAACAGTTTAGACTAAAGAAA